TAGTATGTGAAAAACTAACTTTAGTTGTAGACTTAGATGACTTTGATATTTAGACTCAATATCTATAAGATCAAGTATAATTCTTTAAGGAGACCATGTCCATGGCTATTAAAAACTTATGTATTATTCAACATTATGATATCTTATAATATGCTTCTACTTATAGTAGAGTTTATTAACCTTAGTTGCAAAGATTTTCTAAGGAAGATTATGTGTATTTGTAATGTGAAGTGCATATAATACTTGATGTTTAGACAAGATACACAATTCTTTGTATTAAGGATGTATTGCTCAATAATATTTTTTTTACTTGAAGGAAAAGATAGAGAAGAATATTAATTGCATTCAAAGAATTGTACTTCTTATTATCTTTCTGATGGTGATTTTTTACATTTTAAATTAGAAATTGTACCAATTGATCTTCTTTGTTTTATATGTTGTGAGAATATAAAAGCTACTATTATGCCTTTGTGTGATCAATGCTGACGTTGATGGCATATGGCATATTTGATACCACCTCTTTTGACTCTTCTTTTAGGAGTTTAGATTTGTCCTTATTGTAAAAAATCTTCTAATATTGCCTCATTTGTTGATAAGGATTAAATATTTTTTTTCCTACATTTGTCACAAATTTTGGTGGTCTAGTTGCTACAACATTATTGAAGCATTCACCTTTAATTTTGTATATTTTATTGTCCTAGCTAAGTGGAGGGGCTCCTAATGAGCTATAAAGGAGGGTAGAGTGACAAGACGCACTTAAAAGTGTGTTGGTTGTATATTTGTATTTGATTTAAATTACATACTTTATAATTGGTTTGTAGCATTCAATGTATTATATATAACAATATTTTTGTATATGACAACTGTCATGTAATGTAGCATTGGATACCAAATCTTGTGAGATATATATAATTTAATTTGAGATTAGTAGGCTTTCTATCTATTTAATTTTTTCTATTAATTGACTTTATTAATATCAATTAGAGTATGAATACTTAAGTAGAAAAACTCCCTTATCTTGACATTCATATCAAATCAAGTCTTATGAGTGATTTAAATATAAAAAATGTTTTTTGTAAAGAATTTCTTAGCTATGATGATTTGGCTATTTTGAAAAGTTTTAGGATTTTTTTCCACTCATGCATGTATTCTTAGATTCTTTCTTTGTAGTGTGAGAGATAGTTTGGCTTATTTGTATGTAAATTCATCATCTTTTCTTAAAAGTAGGTTATTTTTGCATTTGTATATGATTTAGATTACACACTTTGTGATTGATTTGTAGCACTCAATGTGTCATATATAATAATCTTTGTTTATACAACAAATTTTTAAAATAAAAATATGATTTTATATTTAAATTCTTTTTGTAAAGACTTTTTTCTACAAAAGATAACTTTACATTCTTTAAAAAATAAATGATGTTTCTAAATAAAAATAATTATAATAATTATAAATTTAGAATATATTAAAAGATGATATTTTTAAAGAATATTTTATCTAATTTATAGAATTATGAATCATTATGTATTACAATTTAAGATCATCATGTATCAAAGATATAATATTTTTTAAGTAATATTACTTAGACTGAAATCTATTTTTTATTTTTAAAACAAGTTTTACTTCAAAGATAATTTTTTGTGAGACTTTTCTTATGAATAGCATTTTAAATAAGAATGACTTCTCAAGAACCTTATAAAAATTTGATTATTAGAAATTCTTAATTTTTTTCATAACACTTAATTTTATACTGATCACATTATTTTTAATGTACTAACAAAAAATATTGTTGTTTTAATTGAACTATGTACCTATGCACTTTTTTAATGAGCTGAAAATTAGTAAGTATTAAGAGAAAAATTATCAGTTTAAAATTTGATTTTTATATGGAGGTTGCTTATTCAAAAGTTTACTCTTTAGGTACATTGGTTAAGAAGTTGCAAAGGTATTTACATTTTGTTTTAGAAAACTATCATTGTGATTATCTTTATTGTATTAGGTAGATGAATCTTATTGATTTTCTGTTGTAAGAAACAAGTTATTGTTGTTATTGTTATTCTTTAGTATTAGAGAATGTTTTTAGTTAGGAACGAATTAAGTAATAGCAACAACAATGAAACTTTGCATTCTAACAAGAATCTTTAGTACGTTTCTCTTTTTAATAAATCAAAATTAATGTCGTTCTTAAAAAATAAGAAATAATAAATTTTGAAATTTTGTATAAGTGTGAGTATCTCATAATTTGTTTTCACCAATTTCTTATATAAAATTTTTAAAAAAATAATAAAAAAATAAAAAGAAAAAAAAATGTAATTTTTTGATTTCATCATGGATTTTGGAGTTGGATTTTTTCTTCTTATATTTGTTCTGCCATTAAGATACAAAGAAATGAAATCTACCATGAAATTGTCTCCAAAATTTACAAAATCATTTAGATTAATAAGCATTATCAATAGAAAGATTAGTAATGTTCTAATAGTCTAGCAATAAAAGACATCTTATTGGTGGTATATTGGTTATCATTATGAATGTAATAAATTTTTTTATATTGCTACTATCTATTTTTTGTAAAGTCTCTTTTTATAAATAAAAATAGTAATAATAAGATCAAAATATTATTAAAAAATATAATAAAATCATAACAATATGTTGTGTTATATATATATATATATATATATACACATACATCAAAAGTTATAATGTTACATGGCTTTGTTATAAATGCTATTATACTCCCCTCTAAAAATACATATTGGAAAAGAATGTGTAATAAAATTGAATATAACTATTCAAAAAAATGAGTTATTATAAATCAAATATAGAATTTTCTTTTATTAATTCCTCAAGCATATTATTATTCATATACTAAACACAACAAATCATTGTTTTTTTTTTCTTTTTTTTTTTTTTTTTTAATAATTTTTTTTGTGTTTTGATCAAACTAGAATAATCATTAGTATTACCAATATAACTAATAGTCTACAGAAGTTAAATTGCCTGAAATTTGTAAAGTCAGAGTTATATAATATAATTTTTTAAAATATTAAATCTACAAATAAAAATACCAAAATTTATCAAATTTTTTTTAATACTAACACATACAATAAATGAATATGAATATGATAAATTTGTATTATAAAACATTACTTATAATTGAATTTGCATCACACTACTAAACGAAAAAAAATATATATTTTTAAATTAGAAGACATGGATGCATTTCAAAGATTCTTTGAATAAATAGAAGTTTTATGATTAAAAGATTTTTTTTCTTTTTCTATTTTTTTTAATAAAAATATTCTCAAGCATATTTTATATATATATATATATATATATATATATATATATATATATACATATTTAAATAGATTCTATTCAAAATTATAATATATTTTGCATTCAAAAGAAAATTACAAATTGTAATTGTATCTTCAAGTGTCCTATAGACTTAGTAATTATGTTAAAATAAATGACAAAAAATGTAGAAGTGAATAAAAATTTTAAAATATGATTTTTTTAAATGTACAAGATTATTGAATGTAAGTAGAAGTATAATTCATGCAAATAATTATAAACATATGAGGAGATGATTGAATCAATCTGTGATTGTAAGGAATTTTATTTTTAATTTTTTTTGTAGAATTTATTTTAGTTAAATTGAAATGTAAGTGAGTAAGTGTATATTATTTTTGAAGGTAAATAAAGAAACTATTGTTTAGTTTAATGAATTTTAATAAAGTTTAATCAATAAATATATACATTATAATATTCTTTTAAATTTGTATGTTCTATAGTATCAATGTATATTATTTTTAATACTCTAATAAATTAGTAATAAAGTCATTGAAAATTGATAGCTAAAATTACTAGAAATCTTATAACAATAATATTCAAAAGTTAAAAAATATTATTAGATCTAATAATAACCTTTTATTCTTATTTTAAAAAATTGATATATTTAATATTAAATTATATTCAAATTAGAAAATATCTTTTTATAAATAAAAATTACAATAGATATAAAATTAAACAATGCTTGGCTTCTGTTATCAACTCTAACCTTGCCATTGATGCGTCTGTGAAAACATACTCTAACACAATAATTAATGGATTTTCTTACACAAGAGGTAATAAAAAAAAATCAACAGACTTGTATTTGCAATAAAGAAGTAGAAACAAGTTTAGGTGCAATATGAATATTGAAATTTCTTATATATACAAAATTGCTTGCAAATTTATTAATCCATACACATCTCACAAGCTCCACGTATAAATCAATATACTTATGAAACTTTAAAAAGTTCATAAAACATTTGCCAATTCAAATATTAAAAAGCCATCCACTAAAAAAAAAATCAAATACAAAATTACACAAAAATATGTAAAACACACTTAAATTCTGACCACAACTCATAAGTATCTATTATACATATAAATGCTTAGAATGTTCCAAAATTGACAGAAAATTATACAATCCACATAAAATGAGGTGTTTCCAAAATTAATTAAAAGAAAATGAAGGTGAGAACTTAGATAATTATGCACACACAATCTACAATGGTAGGTTCAATGCAGTCATGTAGAATTACTAAAAATGAAGACATGCATAGACTAGTGAAAGACACAAGGATAAGATGTCATTAAATAATTAAAAAAAGATATTAGTTATGGAGGTGCTACTACACTACACCATTACAATCATTCTAGTTGTTACAAACTATAATCTGATCAACGCTACCACATAGCCACCACCCATTCTCTACAACTTGGATGACAATGCAAGGGCATGAACACAACAGCAAGGAAAGTGGGGTGAAGGGAGGACGGGGGCTTATCAAATATCCAATGCGAAGCAACGCCACGTCTCACGAACCTATCAAAAGTGGCAACGAGAGCCGCAGCCACGTGGAGAGCCCATCGCGACGTCAGATCCCACGAAGTGGCGGTGTAGTGGCCATGGGTGGGGAGGCACGCCGCGACGCTACCTTGGGAGCGTCGTAGTAGCGTGTGAGGGCGGGCGAGGGTGAGGGAGACTTGAATTGGCCGCAATTGTTGCCGTCCTTCGAAGCTGCGAAATGTCGCCCTCGAACTGACCCATTCACGCTGTGCCACCACCACACCACACGGATTCCGCTTCTTCCAGCACACTACGGGACTCGCGCGGATTGGTCACCTGCTGGCGCAATTTCCATACCGGTCTATGTGTTTGTGCTTGGGGGTGTTGCAGACATATGTCTCTCATTCTCTCAGTCTTCAATTTCCACCACGACGGCGGCGACCACGACGACGTTCTTATTGTCCTTGAAAGCCCTTTGTGCTGAACTGCAGTTTGTGAGGAAACGCTCGCTTGGGTCTTGTAGTTGTTCTTGCAGGTTGTTGTGTTCTTTGCTACATAGTTTGGACTGGTTGTAGTTTGTGGGTCTTTGCGCACGGCGAGGTTTTTCGTCGGTTTGGATCCGTCGAGTTGTGAGAGGCGTGAATTTCTGAACGGGTATGTGAGGCGCCAGTAGTTTTTGTTTATTTATTTATTTGTTTTGTTGGATAATTTTCTGTTTGGTTTGGATAGGATGTATTCTGTGCTACTGTTTGACATCCGGTTTAGCAGGTCTAGCGTGCTGGAACGCTGTATTATTGAATTTGTTCATGAACTACAAAGTTGGGTTTTTGTGAATAGTCAAGTTATTTTGGGTTTTTCCAGTACGGATTGTCTTCCGCATGGGTTTGACTTCGATTTCTAAGCTTTCCAAGTTTTAAAAGGGAAAATCTCAATTTTTTTAATTCTGAGTCCTAGAGTTTCGAATTTCTTCTTACAACGGCTAAACATAAATTTTGCACCACTGAAAAAAATAAAAGTTAAATGAAATAAAATAAATCTTGTCATCTTGATGATCTTAGTTTCTTGTTGTCTCAGAGCTGACTTCGAAGTAACTTGAAACATTCATGCACGATATCAGATTCCCTGAGATTTAACGTTTACTTGACAATTGTTTTGCAGGTAGTTCCTTGGATTATTAATTTTTAAGTTTACTCGAAGAGTACTGAGCACAGTTGAAAGAAACAATGTCTACGATTACGGTACCGCCGTATCTTTCTATGTCGGACGATGTTCATGCTCTTCATCGAGCATTTAGAGGTGCGTCATATGTCAGCTGCTCAATTACTTAACCTCTGATTTCTAAATCCTTGTTATGTAGCTAATTTTAGAGGAATCCCATGAATGCTTAAGTCTCGTGGTCGCGTGACGATGTTGAGACGCGTAGAGGATTACGAAATTTTTACAACAATTAATTGAAATACCAACTCTGCTGTTTATACAAATGCCACATTCTGAAGCTGAATGGAAAAAACCATATATTCTTCTCTGAAGAGTGTTAGAAGATGTTAAGCTTTAGATCTTTTGTTGTCTGAAGCTGTAACCCTGCCATTGTTTAACTCAAGAGTCGTGGGTTTGGTGCTTTGACAGGGTTTGGCTGTGACGAGAAGAGGGTTATTCAGATTCTTGCTCACAGAACTCAACCTCAGCGTGATGCTATAGCTGATGCATACCAACGTCAATATGGAGAAAGCATTCATAAACGCTTGAAAAGTGAACTTCACGGAAAACTTGAGGTACTTACGAATCCTCTCTTGTCCGTTTTCGGGCATAAGTTGAGATTCTTCTTGATATCATAGAACAGTTTGTGTAGGATTTACCCTCGAGACATTTATAATATATATCATTTTGCACGTTGCACTGAGCCTCGTTTAATGTAATCCTTCTTGTCAATACTGTTCAAAATATTGTTTCTCGAGAACATGGCTTGCCACGGACATGTAACATTCTTCATGTCTTTGATACAGAAAGCGGTGCTTTTATGGATGATGACCCCTGCACAACGGGATGCAACATTGGTGAACGAGTCAATGAATGGGCTGGGTACTACAGATCACGCTTTGGTTGGCATTATCTGCACACGGACACCATCGCAGCACTATGCAATTAGTCAAGCTTATAATGCGATGTTCCGCCACACGTTAGAGCGTAAAATTGATGGCGATACTTCGGGAAACTATAGAAAGGTTAGTTGAACAAGTGTAAAAAAATAGACAAGTTAAAAGTGTAAGCCTTGATCTTTCATTGCAGTATTCGTGATGCAAAATAATGCCTAGAGTGTCAGAGTGTTCTTAAATGACAGTACCAATATATTATACTTACTTGAATGTGTACAAACATATACTCAAAAGTACATTGGAATCCATGTTGCTACTCTTCTACAGGTATCTTGCACGGCCATGTGGAAAAGTTACTGATTTTGATATGACTTTTATTTGCAGCTCTTGTTAGCACTTTTAAGAGGAAATCGCTCCGAAACACTTGCTGTGGACCCCAACTTTGCCTTAGCGGATGCACACGCCTTATACCAGGCAGGTGAAGCTCGACTGGGTACAGATGAAGACACTTTCATTCATATTTTGACAACCCGCAGCCCGGCTCAGTTGAATATGACGTTGCAATATTATCGACAGATATATGGCCGTGATTTTGAGAAGGTTGGTTGTAGAGTCTACTTCATTCAGCCATTCATGATGAAGATTTTGTCTGCTTGTTGACATAGTAAATGTTCCCTGTTCTGACAACTGGCTGGACGAGTTTTTAGAATGTAGGGAAGTGGGTGTGACGAAAGAGATGTGTAAAATATGTGGTGTTTCTATACGTCAGTAAAATCTTTCACAGAACGTGACAATATCTTTTTGTGGCACAGTCTATTAAGAGGGAGACATCGGGACATTTTGAAGACGCACTTCTGGCTGTTGTTCAATGCACTTGTTACCCTGCTCGATACTTCGCTCAAGTAAGCTGCTACTCTCTTGCTGCATATTCCCGAGGGTGGATTCGAACACATTAATGAACCAAAAAGCAAGAAAGAGAACGTTCTGGGTTTATTCTATTCTTGATAATTGTGGAGAGCCTTTTACGGACGATCTGGAACACTAACTGGTTCGCGATTTCTTCACAGGAACTGTATTCATCAATGAAAGGCTTGGGCACGAAGGATCGGGACTTAATACGAATTATTACAACACGAGCTGAGATTGATATGTACTACATTAAACAGGAGTTTCAAATCATGTATGGGACAACACTTGAATATATGATCGCGGGTGACACTTCCGGGGATTACAGATATTTCCTTCTCTCGCTCGTTGGAGGGGCGTAATCTTGTGACAAAGGTTCAAAACACATGCACATTCATGTTTCTTATCATATTGGGTCGATGAGGTTTTTTCATTCAAATGTTTTGAAGGCTTCCGTAGTGAAGTTAGAATCGAGCTATCATCAACACCTATTTGAGCTGGCTTCCAAGAAGTTCCGAGGAACTTGAGTTGATTAAATAGTCACATGGAAAGCTGGACTAGACTATCAAGGCTCCAGGCTTCCTCAGGGTTGATAAAGCCTGCATCGGCTTGAACACGAATCGCACCACCAACAGTAATATTGGTGTCAAGCTGCAAAGTACAATTTTAGATTTTTGTACACGAAGTGTAGAAAGCAGATACTGAGTTGAGCAGAAGATGTGAGATTTCTTATTCTAAAAATGAGAATTACAATACAGGTAGATACAGGTGTACATATTGTACATGGTTTTAAGGTCCCTAGTGTTTAATAGAAGAAGTTTTCAAGGAAATTTCATTTTATTTTTTGATGACTTAATATTTATCAGACATGGTTAATGCTTCCCATCCCACTATTTTTGGGGAATGCACTGTGCAGAGTGTTACAAATCTTGACAAATCACAAGGAAACTGAGAGTTAAACACAGACCTCAACACATGTGTGCATGTGTAGATTTTTACAAATGAGTTTTGAGAAGCAACACACAATACTTAAACCTAAGGCATATGCATCAACTTGAATTCATACATTTCACTAAACTTTTGCTACAGCTATAGTGGAAAAAGCTACAACCATAACCAAAAATCTTCTATTAGCTTACCAAGTGGTAACCACACTTCAGAGCAATAATCTTCACATAATTGAAAAATAGTCACTTTTATCTGATACAAGTGCCACTCAAAATAAGACCTTTTATGATATCATAAAAAATATAATATATATATTTTTTTTTTTTAAAAATCATACTAAAGGATCCAAAAGGTCATTAATTGATATGGAGGTATTAAATCTTTATTATAGATGGTTGAAGTTGTGATGGACAAACTTAATTAAGGTGTGTGTTTAGGAAAATTAAGCATCTAATTATATATTAAGACAAGTCCCAACTTATAGTACTTTGTTTACAATTTTATTCAACATTTCTCCTTTAAAAGTAAGAAATAATTTTCTAATAAAAGAAAATCTAACATATCTTTGTAAGCTATGAACTTATATCTAAGATGTTTTATAAAGATGTTTGTTGCCATTTACTTTGTAGAACATTTTTCTGACTAAAATTGTCGTCTTTCCATGCATTACTTGATGAAATGATGTTTTGTATCCTAATACTTTGTATAACCATGGTATATCGGATTCTTAGCAATAGTGATAGCATTCTATATATCATCATAAATAAAGATTTCCTTTGGCTTTAGAATGTTATAACAAGAATTATAAAAAATATGATAAGTTGGATTCAAATTAATAATAATCTCTTCTTTTTTCAAAATAAATCAATGCAAAAAATAAATTTTTGGGATCACTAAGGGCATTCATATTGAAGAATTTCCACAATTCATTCTTATAATTTACAAGGATCTCAAAGTTCTTGATATATATCAATATGTCATTGATATAGACAATTAGTGCATTGATTAATATTTTAAAATATATATATATATATATATATATATATATATTGTATTCAAAGAAGGATCTAACTTTGAGTATTTCCAATCAAAATTTACTAAAGATGCATCTACAATCTTATTGCTCTTACATCCAAATTGTTTCAATGCATACAAGGTCTTTAATAATCGTAAAACCTTATCTATGTATTTAAACAAAACTTCTAAACCTTTTAAAATCTTCATATAGATGTCTTCTTCTTTTAAATCATTGTTTAAATAAGTGTCAAGGATATGAATCTTAAAAAAAGAATATCTCAATATACTCTTGTATCACTAAAAAAGACTAGGAAATCACTCAAAGATGGTAATATATATAATTAGAATGGCTATTATTAAAGACAAGAAGACTAAAAAGCCTTAAAATAAGACTAAGAATTATAAAGGCATTGACAAGAGTGAAGAAGGCTTCACACTTGCCTCTATATATACTCCTTAATTAAAAGCTACGTGACATAATTCTATAGGACTTCCAACACATGTTGACTTTCTTAGATTTGTGACTTAACTTATAAGATATCTACATGTGTGCCACATAATTAGCTTATTTCACAAGCTATTAACACGTGTGTCATGTGGCTAACTTGTTGACAAAGTTTCTAGCTTATCAATTAACTACGAACATGTATAAAATCAAAGCAACATTTATAAAGCTTTTAGAAAGCTTCTCTAGACGATATTATGAAATTAATCTATATTTACTTACTTTTACTTAATCATATACATAATTATTGGAATAAATATGTATGTTTGTGACATTACCTCCTTTTCTAGAGTTGAGTTCTATAAGAAGCAATCATCATATATTGAAAAAAATCCAAGATGTGGTATTGGAATAGAGAGAGTTTGCCTCAAGAATGTGTTGGGCTTTTGGCTGCCACTAAATGCTCAATCAAGTCTAAGATATAAAAGTACCAGGTTCATATGTATAATATTTTCCTTTTTAGGAAAATTACATCAATACATAAGCCAAGTACCAAAAAAAACACCCAAATGTATGATAAAGTATCTTAAAACCTTATATATCCTTATGAAAAATGTTACCTAAACTTCAACAGCTCATATCTCACGATCGGACCGTCCAAACAACCTAAAATTTTACATGAAGTACTGAAGCACTTTCAAAAACTACTACAAAAAAAATTCAACTACAAATTCCTTACGGATCTTATTATATCACCAAAACCCTAACAGTAGCTTTAAACTCTAGCTTATATACACTTGCATGCTATTTTCTTCATATCTCACAAAATAAGTACTCAAGTACCATGAAACTTTAATCTATAGCTTCTTAACCTAATAACTCACACTTTCAAAAATTTTGAGCCAAAAATTCGTCCAGAAACTTAAGATATGGCTCCAACCATTACTATCAACAAAATGACTCACTTACTACCTTTGAATTACATGTGCTGTATTCAATGCCCTATAACTCCTTCATCTAGACTTGAAATTCATCAAATAGTATATGTAAAGTATAGCTAAGAAAGTTTTTTTTTTAATTCCAATCGCCGATCTTTCATTGCTCTCTGTATGCATATGTTATGCTTCAAAGAGTGCCAGTAGGTACAAATTTGATACCTTAACTTTGAACACCTATATCTCCTTCACAAAAACTCGAAATCACACAAATTCTTCACCTAAATTATACACAAAACCCTGAACTTGCTGACCCTAGCCTCCAAAGCTAAGATTACTTCGAAAGAAAAACCCTAATCCCTAATAAGGGCTTAGGCAGCCTCCTTGAAGTCCATTGGGCATGGCCTTCGACCAATAGGAATGAAGATCTCCATTCCTTGCCTTCATCCAACCATGCCTTACTTTCATCCCTCCTAATAAGTCTCCTAATAGTTTAGACTTTCATCTTTAGATTCCCACCTTCTCTTAAGCTTTATACTAGATATCTAAATCCTACATAATATAAACACTATAATCAAAATAGATAAATCTCCAAATAAATTTCCTTATATCAATTCTCTTTAAATTTATTTACTAACCACTCTAATCTACATCAAGACTTACAAACATATTATATGTCTTAATTAATTTTTACATACTATAAGCAATTACAGTATAACAATGGTAAATTGTGTTTGGTACATATCCTAATCTTTGTTCTTTTTGAAGATGGTTGATAGGTCTTCTCAGCCATTATTAGTATTCTATAATAAAGTGAAAAAACTACCCTGTTATTTGATTGTTGTTGATTCCTTCATAACTCCCTTCAAACAAAATATTTGGAATACCATCAAGAATCATTGCTATTTCTAATGAAATCACCAAACATTAAAAATCTCTTTCAAGGTTGTAATACCAAATATATTATATCTCACCAACTATTTGAAGAAATACATGTTGTTCTTGAGGATCTTCATCTTGATTACATCATCTTAAAAGTTGTAACAATTACAATATCTTGTCTGAAATTCCAATAAGAAATAGCTCTTGAGTTGAATCTGTTCATTGTTGGTTTTCCATTTTCTTAGTGCTACAAATATACAAAAGCTAAAAATAAGGATAGAAGATAGAATGCTATCTTTTCTATATCTTGTTTCTTTTATAACAAAGATTTACTATTCTTCATCTTGATTTTTGATGGATGTCATTGATGAAAAGCATCAATCTTCTTTGTTGTATTTGTAAGATTTTTGCTAGCTCCAAATGAATGTTCACATCATATTCGCACTAATAAATAATATATTCAAATCTATTTTGGTGTTGCTTTGAATCTAAATCTTCTTCCACCTTGAATTCTTAAATATTATCCACTTCTTTGAAAAGAGGTAGCATTTGTCTTCTTCTTAAAATATTCATTGTCTTATATGGTTCAAGAAAAAATACGTGGAGTACATAATGGATCTTTATAGATTCCAATAGATGTAATCAATAAGCAACAAAATTAACTTATTCAAAAATAATAAAAGATCTAAGCTTATGATAGTCTAATTTGTCACAATAATAAGTAGTTTTGATATTGCAACAAAGTAATTATATCTTATCAACTATGTTGAATTGTGGTTTTTCTTTGCAGTAGGTATCCACATTGATCTTTTGTTGTTCTTGAGCTTCGTTTAACTACACCTTCATTGTTGCATGTGACTTTGACAAATAATTTGCTATATCTTTTGCTATAGGATTATCAATTATTTAAAAGTCAAAAGTATCAAGTCATAGGTGATAACTATAATTGGAAAAAAAAAGTATTTGTTGAGTAGAAGAATATATTAATTTATTATACACAAACTTTGGTAATGGCAAAATAATTGTCTAATCACCTCAATGATAGTTGATGGTATATCTCAAATATTGCTCTTCAACTTGATTCATTCCATTCCATTGTCATGATGTAATATAATTAATGAATGAATGAGAGAAAGAAATATCATATTATAGAAGATCTTATTTTAAAATATCATAAAAAATTATCTTAAAAATATAGATAAAAAAAAAAAAAAAAAAACTAAAAAGTTCTAATATTATCTTTTTCTAAAATAGGCTTCTATTTTTTATATAGGATCATAAATAAGGTAAAATAAAGTAGATTGAAAAAATTAAATCATATAGACATGTGTAGGAAGGAATTAAGAATAGATTTTAGCAAAATTTACCTCAAGAAGTTAAGAATTGATATCCAAAGAAGGTTGGTTGTCAATCTGGATTGAAATCAGATCCCAAAGAACAAAACTGTATACTTATAAGAATTCTAGGGTTTTTTTGTAGATCAAAGAATGGTATTTGAGAGCATACTTAAGAAAAGACTTTAAGGCATTATTTTCATGTCATTTAGATCAATATTGACATTTTGAGAGATTTTCAAAGTTGGTGATGTTCTTGGTGGCATCAGGATTTAAAAAATATAAATATATTCAGAAATTTGAGGATTTTTTAAGTTCTATGCTATATC